CCGCCGCTGCCAGGACGTTGCGGTCGATTCAAATACTCGGCGTGGTGACAGCGGGGCAGCGGGGTTGCCATCCCTTTCTACTCATTTCCCGCAAATGCTCGGATAAGCCGAGTTGCGTTTGAGCCCAAAGACAAGGGATTAGTTTAATTTCCAAACCAGATTTGCTTTTGCCTAGGGAATTCTGCAGAGAGGGAGCAGGACTCGCTTACTCCGGTCAAGCTTTCTTACGGAGGGTGGGGGACCAGCTATCGCGGCGGGCTTCGGGGGCCAGCGGCGGCTTCGAAACGGGCCGGGGCGCTCGCCGTCCTGGAGGGCTCGCAGCGAGCGGCCGGCGGGTCCTGCAGAAAAGGCAGCCTGTCTGCTGACTTCACTGCACCGGAGAAAAAGGGTTACGTTTGCCCAATAAACTGTTCAGCGTGTGCCCGGCGCTAACGACAAAACATGAAATCCTGGAGAGGTTTGAATTTTGTTATGGCATATATTTTACGCACAAAGCCAGGGACATGACTTGTTTGTTTTCAGTCCAGCCTGGTTTTAATCACTTTGAATTAAGTAACTTGATCTTATTACTTATCTGACTATGAGAGGGCTTATCGCAGGCTCCTTGGCACATGACAGCGATTACTGTCAGTGCAGCCGAGCCTGGGTAACGCGACTCTTCGTTGCCTCGTGACGTGTCTTCTCGGAGCTCCTTTTTCTGCAGAAGGTTGGTCCTTTCGTTTCTTCAGCCGGTGACCAGGTAATACCTGCTTAATGCTAACGAAACCCCGTCCACATAATGGAACGGAGGGAAAAGCTCTGCTGTTTCTTGTAATAGATGTCCTTTGTTTTCTGAGGTTTTCATTAAATTGAGGGCAGCATCATATTGACTGGTAGCTTAATGGACATGGCTGTGGACTTAATTAAAAGCGATATGAAAATCGGCAGTATAAATTACCATGTTGAACACAGTTAATGTTTAGCATTGGCTTTGAGCATGGGATGAAAGAAGGGCAATTAGCGCATCCTTCACTTCTGAAAAGGGCTGAGAGATATGGGGTTTACTCCAGCCCCTGCAATGGCTTTTTGTGAGGGTTTGACTCGGAGCATTTGCCGGTCACCTCTCCAGAAAGCAGGCTCAGGACCAAAGTTCAGCAGAGTTTGGATAACAGCCCCCAAATCCGGAGAGCTCCGGAGCATCGGAGCCGCAAGTTTGCTTTTAGCCTCCAGCTCTGGAGTCTTTATAAACAAGTCAGGCGGAAGCGCCTGATGTCCCATTTAGCTAAAATTAAACATCTTGAGAGAGAAATAACAAGCAAGGAGAATAAGGGTTTTGTAGCAGAGGCGCTGGATGGGAATGCATGCGTTTGCCTCCCGCCGCGGGTGCGTTGTTAACCCCTGAGCAAACGGTTGACTCGCACTGTGCCTCCAGCATCCCTTATGTCGAATGGGTGCGGTAATGCTGCTTTGAGCACTGCATTTTAGACCATAACTGCTTTAGGTCGGGGATAATCTTCTATAGGCAAATATGTCGTTCTGGTCTTCGGGGCCCTGCTCCTGTGTGGGGACGCCTCTGCTCTGCTGTCCTTAGGCAGCAGCGGAGTCTGGTCGTTTGATGACGAAAAGTCAGACGCTGCCAGTCACTAGATGGGACTTCTCCTCCTCTTGGAAAGGCCTGCAGTGTGACTGTGAATCAGACGAAGAGGCGGATGACAGCCTTAGGCTGATGTGCTTGGAGGTGGTGAATAATCGCTGTTGCTGACACCTCGTGGAAGGCTCGGATAAACATTTGTGCTGGAAACCTTTCTGTTTCATTTCCTCTGCTGCTGCTGCTTCCCCACCTGAGGAGCTCGTCCCCTCTTTGCACCATCTCCGCAGCAATCGGCTGGGGACATACGCAGCCGCAGCGGGGCCTTTGCCAGCTTCCGGCATGAGGGCTTGGGCCGGCAGCCAAGGATGACTTCCCGGGGCGCGGGATCCTCCCCCTGCACCGGGACCCGCAGGGCTGCGGCTCTCCAGCAACGCGCTGCTCTAGCAGGAAGCGATGTGCAATGCTTTCCCAGGGCCCATGTCTCCCCTGGGCAGCGAGGAGGCCGGCACACATTTTATACATGCTACACACACGTGTGGGTACGGAGAGGAAAGCGTCCCCATAAAAACCATAAAACACTCACAAGGTGCGTATGCCTCGGTGAGGCTGCTATGCCTACCTCCTTAGTCCGGGGGCATGGATTGGCAAGGGGCTATTATAAAAAAACTCTTGCCTTTCATCTCAGAAGCTCAAATCCCTTTGGAAAAAAAGACATTGGGAAATGGGAAAAATTTTCCATTTGAGAAACGAGGCTGCTGAAGATCACACAGTGAGTCAGTGGTGATCTGGGTTGGGGCACAGCGCCTGGCTCCAAGTCCCTCGCTGAACCCATCGGACAACATTACTCTGTTCAGGCGAGGCATCGTGGCCCTGAAACCTGTTCTTACTGCTCACACCCACACTCTTTCTCTCTTCCCGCACCCATCTCTTCTTCCTCCTCGATTTTGTATTACAGTCGCTCTCGCTTCTCTCCTGACTTTGTATGAATCATCATCGTGCATTGAGCCTGAACTGCCCATAACCCTGCTGGTTTGCTTTCTCTGCTGTATTATAGGGTCAGCTCCTTCCTGACCCACAGCAGGACAGAAAATCTGCTTTGGAAAGAGCGAAGCGAACAAGCCTTCTCTTGTTTCCTCTGCTTCCCGGCTGCTGCTGAGCTCATACGACACTGTTCCAAAAATTTGCATCCCAGATGACGCTTGGGAACCCAAGAAAAGCTATGAAACACTTCATTTTGGAAAGGAAATCTCTCCACCAGGGCTGGGATCAAGTACCTGATACAGTAATGCTGGAATTCAAATGAACTGTGCTTTCCGCCCTGTGGTCTGCATACAAAAGTACTTCATGTGATGTTCGACTGCTCCCAAATGTCAATCCTGGTTGATGGGAGGCCGAATAAATGGCTAAATTGGTACCATGGAAATGTTGAGTCTGTCAGCGCCCAATAGTGGACTAACACAATATTTAGGCTTTGAAACTTGTTTTTAATTCTGGTTCCTTGACAGAGGGTGCAGAAAAGTGTTCCGGCAGAAATGACGTGGGCAGCAAGGTGGTAAGTCCAGCCTCGGCGTATTGGAGCAATGAGGGGGTGAGGCTCCATGGCCTCTACGAATTTAGGCCAAGAGCAGTGGGCCGCTGAGTGCCGGCCAGCAAAGGTCGGGCTCCCATGCAGTGATCTGGTGGCCAGAGGAAACGGCCCCTTCTGGGCCGCTGTCCCCTGTCCTGGGGTGGCAGCCAGGACATTTGTGATAAGGAGAGGGATTTGCCGAATCAGTGCTCTCACTTGCCAACCAAATTAGAAGCCAGTCCTTTAACTGTGGCTATATTGCAAGCCCTCAGGGATGGTCATAGATCAACACCAGCATCCTATTTGTTTTGGCGGGGTTTGCACTCCACCCCTCCTTAAGCCTTGATTTTGGCATCTCTAATAAATGAGCCACCAGCATCCTTTCTGACATCTACAGAAACTCCCATAGCTACAGCAGAGATTAAATTTGGTGTAGTATATCACAGGGAAGCTGACAAGTGTCCCTTAAAAGACAAGACGGGAAAGGGTACCTTTCTGGGAAACTTTCTGTTTTATAAGCGAGCAAATGAGAGGGGTCAGAGAGCTCCTAGCGCCTGCAGATGATTGTAGCCTTCAGCTTGATGTTAGTTGTTAAAAATATTATCCCAGATGTATTAATACGACCAGACTGGATTGCATCTGAGCTGAACATTGTGAGCCTAAGGCAGGGCATAAATATAGAAGCAAAACAGCCTGACACGAGAGTCATCTGTCCTCTTCTGCACAAGAAGCGAAGGGGAAAGAGAGCGAACGCGCTCTGGTTTTGCACGCTCCCAGGCATACGGCTGAGCCTCGGAGAGCGCCTCCCGCAGGGTCCTGTCGTACCAGAGACCCCCGCAAATCCCTCCGCCAGCCCACAGCGTGCCAGGACTGTGCACTCAGCACATTTTTAACCTGGGGTTAGGTTTGCCTAGACAAGGTCTGCAATCACGAATGGCTATTTGTTTGATGTGTTTGCCTAACAGGATTACACTTATCACAATGATATAGCAGCCTGGCCTTGGCATAGGTAAAACCCAGGGCTCACGAGGGTCAGCCTCTAGCCGCTCTCGTCCCCAGTGTCTGTCCATGCTGTAGCTGGTCTCTGTTATCATGATAACGTGCTGCACTATCCAGCCAGGGCTTCGGGTGGCCTTCAGTGCTCCACGTTTTGGAAAGAGTAGTTGTGCCATGTAACACTTTCTGCTGACATCACGCTTGGCATTTCTTTCTCCACAACCGAAAAAAAGAAAAGATCAATAATATGAAGAGGTTAGAAAAACGGTCCAGTTAGAGAATGAGACGCCTTCCCCGCTGGGGGCTGTTCTGAGCAAGCGCCTAACTGAACTCAGTGTGGATTTGTTGCCCTCTAGTTCCCAAAGAAAACACCTGTAGGTAACGAACCAACAAGTTGTCTGTTTTCTGCGTCGTAGATCATGAACACACCTAGACTCATTACAAAAGCATCTGCTCTTCTTTGTATTTGTGATTATTAAAAATTTGCTGTTTTGAAAGACTCAAGGAAGGCAGAGGGTGAAAACTGTGTTTTCCGGCAGTGTTTCTG